AACATTGTATTTTGAAATAAATAAAAAATTAAGCGCTAAATGCACACTTGTATCACATAAATTAACTTATCTTTGAAAAATGGTCTCAGCTATTCAAAAATATACAAAGACCGAAGCAACAGTTGTTCAAAACGTGGCAAATGTCACATGAAAAATATTAAAAAATGGTATTTAAACGATTAATATAAATATTTTGTATGTACATACTAAACTAAATTTCACCCTACATTTAATATATTATTAATATGATTAAATGTAATCTTTGTTCTTGAATATATTTTTAAGCAACTCTAACCAATATATGTAGACTTTAGGCATAAAACTAATGTTAAAAAATTGAATAATAAAGAAGTATACATCTATCTATCTATATATCTATCAATTTATAAAATATTATTATTAAAAAGTCTAGTTTAACAGTTAAGACCTATAGAAATTTTATAGCGCTGTGGTATTTATAAATATTTTTGATTTATTAAAATGACGCTATTCAAATTAAACAAAAAAGTATAGAGTGGGATATGGACTAATATTTTATACGAGATATTTTAAATATAATGCATTGTCTACAACATTTAAATTTAATTAAGTTGTCAGTTAAAAAGTTTATTTTTTTATCGAAACTTACTTTCAGTATAAAATTGTTTTTGTCGCTGTATTAGACAAACTGACAAGTAACATTATTAATGAATTTTTATTTGCAGTGATTATTGTTAAAATATGTGCTGTTAATGTCTTCCACTTGAGCTGATAAAAGTCTCTTCAGCTACAAGTCAATAAATAATTAATATGTCGAAATTGTGTAGGTGAAATCAGTACTTCTACGCATATTTCACAGACTTGGCAATTACTTTTGGGAAATTATAATATTTTTTTAATTAATTACTTGTTACTTAGTATCGATTATTGCAATTTATTAATATTTATTTTTACTTTTTTTTTTGTTTTCCTTAAGTTTTATTTTTCTTTTTTGTTGTATATAAATATTTATAAAATACACAGATATATATGTTGTATATACTCGTATATAGATTGTTAAAAGTACTGAGGTAATGCTTGTCCTTTTTAATTATCTTGAACAGAAAATATTTTCTCTCGTTTCATTAAATTTATTAAATGCCAAAATGAATTTTCTTCAGTTATTTCTGGAAACTTCGTCTCACATTCCTGCGATTTGGTATCGAAATTTCATAAATATTATATTTCAAGTCATTAATTTTACTTTCATTTATTTTGGCTCAAATGAATTCAAACGGTTCTAACATAGATTTCAGTTGTGTTAAGTGAAGTAAACATTTTTACCAAATATCCTGCGAGAAATTCCTCTTGCCTGTCGTTATACGAATATGTATCGTGAATAATTGATTTTATGCCGTTGGTAGAAGAACATTTTTAAAATATCTGAATCGAAATGTTTTATAAGGATTGTATGACAAAAATTTAGTGTATAGTACATATTCAACCTTTACTATTTGAGAGTAAATTGATTGAATTTATTTGTATCTGCTCCTATTTTTTTTTTAAAGAAAAGCTTTGCTAGGTAAAAATAAGAAATTTCTTTCATTTTAAATATTCCATTGAATTCTAAAGAAATATATAGAAAATAAATATTTCTTAGTCAGTTTTCAATTTAACCTTTTAAAGTCGAAATATTTTATAAATTCCTTTAATCTCTGTTAATCACAGATTTTTTCCGAGAAATTTAATAAACCTTTCGAAATTTGTACAGCTTAACCTGAAAACCTTCAAATAGAATTACGTACATATTAGGCTCCTGATTGTAGGTTTATTAATTTATACATAAATGTACTTGTGCATTTTTAATGTTAGATGCTGTGCAGGATTAGAGGTTTAAGTCAGGCATCAATGACGTAAAGGAAGTGAAAATTATGTGTTTAAGGTATTTTATTATTAATTACAGCATTGAACAGTACTATCCGTAGGTATATGTTACTCTTAAGGTGTTGATAAACAGTATAATAAAGCATTTTTAAATTCCTAAAGGACAAAATGTTTATCAAAACATTAATAATGAATTTATGTTTTGAGGTCACAGTATTATGATTTATAAAGTATTTAAAATGTTTAAAAAAATAATAAAAAAAAATAATATAAAAAATATGTATAAAAATGCATCAATTGTTTAAGTCAAAATGTCATTAAAGTGTTTCCATTTAGTAAGCAGTTTCTCCTAATTGAGATGCTAATAAATATTATATTTTTTTGATCATTAAAAAATGAGCAAAAAATTATTCTATTCCATGACTTCGGATTAGTTATCTGAAAGAAGGTAGTTCATTTATATTTAAATTCTATGAATTTGCAAAGCAATTCATATAGTTTTTATAGCTTTCGGAATATGCAGTTTCTTTGCTGTGGTCAACTATTTTTGATTTCTCATCGCAAGCTTGAATGATGCTGAATTGACAGTTGGGAAAGAGATGTTTCAGTTACTTGCTACACTGAACCACTGTATTTTTACAATATATCACTGTATGCTAGAAAGGTAAAAAACTGTTTTCTTAATCAATGGTCAATTCTGTGTTTTGATATTGGGTTTGACTTGAAATGACTTGCGTACAACGACTTTGATTTGTAATGTTTTTGAAATTTGCTTGTCATTGATTTGATTAAATCAAAGTCAAGTCATCATCCTTGTGGTCAGAACAGATACAAATAAAATGAGGTAAACTGTTGTTTACTGCTAGCTTTTAGATATTCATTTTAGTGATTAGTGAACCTCATACATCAAAAAAAAATTATGAGATAAAAGAATTTTATATTTTTGCTTTTGAAATATTTTTAAAGACAAATGATTGAAATTTTTATGTTGAAGTTAGTTTTGATTAAACAAAAAAACAAAAAATAAATAACTATAATATTTATAGTACTAAAAAGGTTAAAGATTGCTAGCACCAAGTGTTGAATTCGTGCCCTGCTAAATTTGATCTCAGAGTCAGCGCACCTTAACCAACTGAGCCAAACCTGTACTTGACTTGTGTGTTCATCTTTTGGAGTTTTGTTATTTGTGTTTTATTTAGAACGAAATCATAAGCCAGCTGTATAATAATTGAATTAATTATTTATGTTCTATTTTTAATTGTTAAATTTCAATATTATTCTTTTGTTTAATGCATCATATATTTTTGATGCAAAAAAAAAAAAATTAAATTAAAAAGGGCAATAACATAATTTCAACAATTAAATTTATTCCATCTCAATTTCTTCCAAGAAAAGATTTTAATTTACTTTACATAAAAAATGAATTTAAAATTTTATGTCTAAAAAATAGATGAACAAAAATCCATTAAAATAAATCGCATAAAATTATCAATAATTTATGCTTAGGCTTGAACAGCGTGTCTTAGTAGATAAGCAATACAATGTCTTTGAGGATGGATATTAAAATCTCTTTCCTTTTTTATAAATTAAATTTTTATGCAAATTATTGCGGTTTTACGCAAAATGCAAGTAAAAATCGTTAATAATCAATCAAATGTTTTGTGCTATTATCTTCGCAGGAATATATCCTTACAATAAAAATGGTAGAGCGGCACAACAACAAAACACAATAAAAATCAGCATGAAAAATGTGGTGCGTGATTGTTGTCATTTTTTTTTTGTGGTTTGTAAAAAAAATAAAATAAAATTTTCCAAAATAAGGAATGGAATTATGTCTTATCTGCTTATTCCTGTTTCATGCCTTGAAATTCTAACTTTGGAACCAGAATAAATCGATTTTAAGCCATAAATACTTTATAAAAACCGTCAATACAATCAGACGATACCAGGTGTTAAGGGCTCCTTTACTGAGTTTGCACGATTTTGAATTCATTGAATTATAAAAAAATGAAATTATAGCTTGGTTGCAAATTGTTCATTGAATTAATTGTAAATTTATTTTAAGATATATTAATAATAATTTTTTTTTTTCAAATTACTAAAGTTATTTCATAGAGTTGGTTT